CTTTCTTGGCGATGCAACAGAAGTGTTTTGAAGCACCATTCGACTCAACACGTTGAAGACCCTTAAACTCTTGACAACGAATAATTTGGGACCACTTGAAATCTATTACCAAGCAGTAGAGAAGCCGACCACGTTTTTTGTGAGCCTTACAGCCGCGCACCACCTCGGACCTAGATTTGAACAGCTAATTGAAATGTATGCGCTAGATTTGTAAAAGCGCGGCCGCGTGTGCCACGCGCATCAACCATTGCGGCATCATTTCAAATAAGTTCCCCGAAAATGCTAGCTAAATAAATTGAACCCATGTATCCGAGTATATTCAAAGAGCAACAATATCGATTGGATAAAACATCTAACTCCACAAAGCGCTTCCAGACTCACACCGCCAAAAATGCTTAAAGCAGCGCTGTCCACGTACTAGGTACAAACGCTTGAATCTCTTTCGGCAGGATTCATCAACTCGTTGCAATACATCGTTGTTTTTCTGGACGCTTTTTCAACACTCCTCCAGCAGCTTAGCAGCGTGATCAAGCTTCGTTTCCGAAACCTCCAAGACTTACAAGGACCTAAACCCCTTCTTCGCCTATCTACCGTATTTACAGTTGTTATGGGAAAGGATCCTTTGAATTCCATACCCTGTTGAAAGCAAGCGCCTTGGCAAGTTCACAACCACCAGGAATGAGTATCTATTAGATGGCAATGTTCAAGGCATTTAAAATCCGTAGGTAGGTATACTCTAGCCTTACTAGCCTAGTCCACCTCTACCGGGCACTAGTCGGTCCAACTATACTAGTGAAGTCCTATCCAAGTGACCGGGTCACTATATGACGCACTCGTATCATCATACGACTCGCTACATGGGCTAATAACCACATGGACTTGTGGTCGGTAGTACTATACCGAAATGGTCGGTAGTACCGTACTACTATATTGGGGCTAATACACACTAGTGGTCGACTCGAGGCTCCTACATCACTCGACTCGACTCACGATCGGACGGTCGATGATGCGTGAATCACACACCTTACTTGCCATCCCGGTCGATACTCGGCCTACCAAAGCCTCAATCGATGCCTACGAATTGTCTAGAATGTTGAAGCGTACTCACTCAAGTAACGCCCGAATCTCAACACTCCCCCATGCACTAAGTATCCTACGCAATTCCTATCTCACTCTTGCACTTCGAGGACTTCCCCGGTGCCACCGCCTTGGTCAAAATGTCCGCCTTCATGTCCTCCGTACGGCAATACGCTTGAACACGACCTCCTTCCGCGCCACCTTCTCTCGCGCAAAGTGATGATTCACATCAATGTGCTTCGACCGCTGCAAAGCGACTCGATGCTTCAGGAGCCGTATTGCTCAGGATTTGGTTGTTGCAGCAGATTTGAACCGTGCTCAGGTTCAGCCCCAAGTCTCTTGCCAACTTGCGAAACCATAGCGCCTCCTTCACTCCCTGCCCCGCACTCATATCCTCCGCCGCTACCGTCGACGCCGCCACCGTCGGCTGAAGACGGCTCGACCAACTCACCGCTCCTCCGTCCATCAGGGAGTCGTCCCCAGTCGTGAAATGCTTCGTGTCAACGTCCTCCGCAAAGTCCTCGTCGCAAAACGCCTCAACGACCTCACTGCTCCCCCCAAAGAAAGTTCCGTTCTCTACGGTCCCCACCAAGTAGCGCACAACCCCAAGCGCCGCCGCCCAATGTGCCTCCGTGGAGCGCGCCAATGCCCCGACGGCCTGAGAAATGTCGGGCCGCGTGCACACATTCAAGTAGAGCAAGCTCTTTCTGATTTTGCTATGAGGAATCTTGCCGTTTCAAGCGGCTCACCCTCTCTCGTCGATTTCTCCCCCACACCAAGGGGGACCGAGCGCGCCCGTGCGCTCGCCAATTCGTGCCGCCCAACAAGCTCTCCGGTAAGCT